AGGCCGGGGTATCTAGGCCCTTGAGCCAGTGTGAGTCCAGGCCTGGGCCTCCCTGTGTCTGCTACTCGGGCCCCTCCCCAAGCTCCCCAGCCTTTGACCCCCCCCACCCTTCCTGGATCCAACTTAGGGTTCTGTCTGTCCTGGGCCTCAGGCCCCTGCCCCTCAATTTCCAGGCCCATCTATGCCTCCTGCCCCCCCCCTTCCTTTTTTTCCCTTGCTTGGGGAGGGGGGGGGTTGGGTCTGGCCTTCAAAAGACTCCTTGCAGATCTGGCTTCCAGAAATCTCCTGGACCAACCCTGGGAAGGGGGGCTCACTCAGCTAGACACCCCCTCCCCAGACTCCTACAGGGCAGCCCAGAGAGACCCACCCCTTCCACCATCCCCCAGGGGTCTGGTCACTTTGATACCCCCAAAGTCCCGGAATGCTCTTCAGCTGCCTCTTTTCCTCACCCCCCCTTTCAGCCCAGTCCCCGCCCCATCTTCCAGGACCCTCTCTGGCAGAGAGAGAGAGAGAGCCCCCATTACTGCTGCTGGCCTTCCTCAAGGCCCACCTTCTCCCTTCCCTGGTCTGGACAGGGCGGTGCCTGGCTGAGGCCCTGCGCTCTAGGGCCTGTCCTGTGTGAGCTCCCTTTTCTCCTCTCTGTGCCTCAGTTTCCTGCCCTAGAAAATGGGGTGATGATGACAGGTTCCTGGGCATTACCCAAGGCCCTGTGGGTGCAGCCTGGGACCTGGCTGGTGGTGGAGCTGTGGGGAGGACTGAGAAGGCCGAGCCTGCCCAACCAGTGTTGTCATAACTATGGCAGGAGTTTGGTGGCGCTGGCCTCAGTTTCTCTAGATAAGCCTGTAGTGGCCTCTCCCGGCCAAGGACCTTTCCAGGAGGTTCTTTCCTCTGATGACTGTAAACTACTTTGATATACTTGAGTTCTAGTCCACCTCCTGAGCTGTGTGACCTCAGGCCAGTGAATGCACCTATCTGAGCCCCAGTTTCCATGTCTGTGGGTCTGCGGAATGGGGCTGATGATCCTGGAACTCTCTGAATGGGGAGGACGATGGCGGAGTCTGCCCTCCCCTCTGAGGTCATCAGCAGGGTCTGCTCGACTCTCCCCCCCTGGAATCTGATGCTGGAGCCCCTTCTCTGCTACCTGGTTACCATGGTGACAGCCATGAGAGGTTACGCCCTCTCACCCCAAGATCTGGCTATGAGGTTCCCTAGCAACGGGCCTGGGGCTGGGGTGCCAGCCTGGCAGCAGGATCCAAGCCAAGTGCTGGTGTGGTGAATGTTTAGCTCCCATTCCCAGCCCCTTGGGGACTTTGTTCCTCCCCCCCCCCCCGCCCTTCGTGGGGCCTGGTGGCAGCATCTCCACGGCCCAGGTAGGGGCTGGGCTGGGCCGCAGGCAGCTGGGGGGCCTGGGAGAGGCCCTGCACTCCACAGCCGGTGCTGGGTTCGAGTCCTGGTGCTCATTCATCTTGCCCTGTGTTCCTGGATGAGCTCTGGGGGAACTTTTTGGGTTCGGTGTACACTGCAGCTGGACTCGAGTGTAGTGAGGACACCCCATTGAGGTCCAGTGGGGGGGGCAAGGGGGGGGACAGACCTGTGCCTTGCTTCTAGGGAGTGAGCCAGGTGACCTTGGCCAGGCACCCTGCCTCCTCCAAGCCTCAGTTTCCCCTTTGCACTCTGCAGGGACAAGTGCCTCCCTCATGGGGTCCTGTGGGAACTGAGTTCAGGAGAGGCGCTCCCCCCCCATCCAGCTTGAGACGGTGGCCAGGTCTAGGCTGGTGGCCGTGGGGAAGGTCAGCGTGCTAAACCGGCTCGATTCCCCTCCCTCAGCTCTGAGCCTCAGTTTCCCCATCTGCCCATGGGGTTGTGCCAGCCCTATGCGCCTTGGAGGGGAGGGGGGGGCGCATACTCCCTAACTTGGTTCTCACCACCCTGAGGCGGCCACCCCAGGTCCCCAGCCACCTGGCCACCTCTCCTCTGGCTCCTTTGTCCTCCTCTGTCCCTGCGGCCGCTTTGGCCCTGCCCTGGTGCCCTGGGCCCCAGCCTTGAAAGGGACACTCAGTGTGCCCGGGCACACAATGAGGACAGGGCAGCGGGAGCAGGCAGTGACCCGTGGGGGAGAGGCCCGGAGAGACGGGACAGGACAGAGCACTGGGGCAGCGCCCGGGGAGGCTCAGGGCGGGGGGGGGGGTAAGGGGGAGACAATGTTTCTTGTGGAAGATGGTAACTGTTACCCAAGCCAGGGCTGGAAGACTTTGTTCCAGTCCTTGTAGCAAATCTGAGGGAGTCACAGTGACACCCCCCCCATCCATAGTGGAATGTTCTAGAATCCCCCCCCACACACACCCCACATGCTTGCTACCTGGAGCGTGTGCACGCCACACTTGGCGTGTTCCTTTTTTTGCTTGTATGCTTGTGATAAAGCTTAATGATACACCAGGGCCGCCAGAGGTCGGCTACCATTGTAAAGCAGAAATCTCCCCGGGAGATACTGTGGTCCCGGGGACCTGGGGAAACTTCCATGACCAAGGTTCTAGCTGGAAGTTTCCATGTGCTGTCTTTTTTGTTGTTTTTGGTGGTGGTGGTGGTGGTGGGACTTGAACTCTGGGCCTGGGCGCTGCCCCTCAGCTCCTCAGCTCAAGGCGAGCGCTCTACCACTTGAGCCACAGCGCCACTTCCAGTTTTCTGAGTGGTTTATCAGAGATAAGAGTCTCATGGACTTTCCTGCCCGGGCTGGCTTTAAACCTTGATCCTCGGGTCTCAGCCTCCTGGGTAGCTAGGATGACAGGCGTGAGCCACTGCTTCCCAGCTCCAGGTACTGTCTCTAGACCAGGTAAAGCGCAGAAGCGGTAGTTGAGGGGAAGATGTGAGAGAGATCAACTAGGGTGTCAGGGCTTGGCGTAGAATTGGGGCCGGATTTCCCTCCCTCTCCCTCTCCCTCACCCTCTCTCTCTCTTTTCTTGCAGTGATTCTGGGGGTTTGAACCCAGGTCCTTCTTACTAAGCAGGTGCTCTACCACTTAGGCCCCGCCCCCAAGCCTTGTTTGCTTGAGTCTTTTTTTTTTTTAATCTTTCTGTATGGCACCAGCCTTGAATTGTGATCCCCCTATTTCCACCTCCTGAGTAACTGGGATCTCAGGCATGTCCGGCCACACCAGACTTATTGGTTGAGATGAGGTCTTGGTTTTTTTTGGCCCAGGGTGGCCCTGAACCTTGGGATTATAGGTACCAGAAAGTGGTGTTGGGTCTCTAGTTTAAAAAGGGCCACCTTGCGGTGGCTAGGGTTAGATCCAACGGCCATTCCTCCCTCCCTGGGCCAGCGGCGGAGGAGGAGGTAGGAACAGGCAGTTTACACTTGTCTCTCCCCCCTTGTCCAGCATGGCACCTTGGGCAGCGGACGGTCTTCAGACAAGGGGCCATCGTGGTCCAGCCGTTCCCTGGGCGCCCGCTGCCGGAACTCCATCGCCTCCTGTCCCGAGGAGCAGCCCCACGTAGGTAACTACCGCCTGCTGCGGACCATCGGGAAAGGCAACTTTGCCAAGGTCAAGCTGGCTCGGCACATCCTCACAGGACGAGAGGTGAGCGGGGCTGGGGCGGGTCGAGGTGAGCAGGGCTGGGGCGGGCCGAGGTGAGCAGGGCTGGGGCGGGCCGAGGTGAGCAGGGCTGGGGCGGGCCGAGGTGAGCAGGGCTGGGGCGGGCTGGGACTGCGCCCCGGCCTCCCTGGAGACCACACCTGAGCACCGGCTACGGGCACTTTCTTCCATCCACGGGTGTGAATGTGGACCTCATGCTGGCTGGATGGGTGCTTTACCACTGGAGCCACACCCCCACCCCCATTCTGTCCTTCCTCTAGTTATTTTCCAGGTAGGGTGTCACACTTTTGCCCAGATCCCTCCTCCCCTGCAATCTAAGTAACTGACCACGGGGCCCGGTTTGATGTTGTTTGTTTGTTTTATTTTTTTGAGGCAAGGTCTGACTCTGCAGCCCAGGCTGGCCTCAAACTTGTGATCTTCCTGCCTCTGCCTCCTGAGAGCCAAGGTGGCAGGCATGCGCTGCCTCGGCTGGCCGTGTGTAGTATGCCTCAGGAGGCACAGGATCTTCCTGCCTAAACCCGCACCACCTCCCTTCCTTGTTTTCTTTGGTGCTGGAGGTGGAATCCAGGGTCTTGTCCATGCTGGGCTGGTGCTCTACTGCTGAGCCATGCCCTCAGCCCTTCCCATCTTTTTTTGCCAGTGCTGGGCTTGAACTCAGGTCCTGGGCACTGTCCATGAGCTCCTTTTTGCTCAGGCTAGCGCTCTACTACTTTGAGCCACAGCACCACCTTTGGCTTTTTCTGTGTATGTGGTGCTGAGGAATTGAACCCAGGGCTTCCTGCATGCAAGGCAAGCGCTCTACCACTAAGCCACATTCCCAGTCCCTCCCCATATCTCTCTCTCTCTCTCTCTCTCTCTCTTTTGTCAGTCATGGGGGTTGAACTCTGGGCCTGGGCGCTGTCCCTGTGCTCTTCAGCTCAAGGTGGGTGCTCCACCACTTGAGCCACGGCACCACTTCTGGTTTTTAAGTGGTTCATTGGCAATAAGAGTCTCATGGACTTTCCTGCCCGGGCTGGCTTCAGACCGTTATCCTCAAATCTCAGCCTCCTGAGTAGCTAGGATGACAGAGCCACCAGTGCCCCGCTCACCCCCACCCCCATCTTAAAGATGGACCCTGGTTGCTCCAGATTCCCCCCCAAACCTGAGGACACAGCAGCTTTGTGGGGGGGAGGTCAGGGTGTCACAGCCTCGCTCTCCCAGCATCCTTTGGGGAGGGCAGGACCTCAGCGCAGGGTCCTTCATTCACACTGAAGGGGGACAGACAGGTAGGCGGCACCCCCATAGCTTCAGGATCCCCCACCCCCGTACCCTTAGATGGAGGCACCGGCCACCCTCTCAGCAGGGTAGATTCCGCCGGACATTCAAATGTCACGTTTCCATGGGGCGCGGGCGACAGAGCTGGCTGCTCCCAGGCCTGGCTCGTCACCTTCTTCCCTCTGCCGATTGATTTATGCCCGCGCGCGCAGCGCCACGTTCACAGATTCCGGGAGAGGAACCATATGATCCTCAGCGCTGCCACACGCAGCATTTGCCAAGGTTGAAGCCATCTATGGGTGCGATGTGAGCGAATCGAGGGGCCCTTCCCCACACAGCGAGCGTGGGGCTCACCATATGTGAATTGTACCCAGTTCCAGAGGTTTCCACGAGCCCAGAGCGGAAGGGAACAGGCGTCCCAGGGGAAGATTCATGCAGTGCATGGGAGGGGTCTGGGGGCCTGGAGACTCACACCTGTCATCCTAGCTACTCAGGGAGGCTGAGATCTGGAGGATCAACGGTTCAGAGCCAGCAGGAACGTCTGTGAGACTTTTATCTCACAGAAATAGAGCTGTGGCTCAAGGAGTAGCTTGCCAACCTTGAGTGATAAAGCCAAGGGAGAGCTTGCGGTCGTGAGTTCAAGCCTGCATTGTCTTGTCTGAGTGACAAAACTGGGTCATGCCTCTGGTTCCTCTTTTTTATTTTTATTTGTTTATTTTGTCAATCCTGGGGCTTGAACTCAGGGCCTGGGCGCTGTCCCTCAGATCTTTTGCTCAAGGCGAGCGCTCTACCACTTTGAGCCACAGCTTCACTTGCGGTTTTCTGGTGCTTCTTCGTTGGAGAGAAGAGTCTCATAGACTTTCCTTCTCAGGCTGGCTTTGAACCCTGATCCTCAGATCTTAGTCTCTGGAGTAGCTAGGATGACAGGTGTGAGCCACCAGTGCCTGGCTCCCGTTTCCTCTTTTGTAAATTTGGTGTGTGTGTGGGGTGGCCTCCCTCATGCTGTCTCCACTGCAAAGCCCAGAGCAGTAGCTGGCCTTCAGGGAGCGGTGAGCGTTAGCTGTCATCATTACCTCACACATCAAGCGTTGAAAGCCGGATAGACAGTTGCCCTGCACTACCCTCATGCAGGGAACCCCTCAAGATCTCAGGGCCTCTCAACTACTCACAGCCCCTGGAGCGGCTTTGTGCAGGCCCTGCCTCAAAATAGAGGACATTGACATTTCCCTGTGGAAGGAAGGGCAGCCCTGGAGATGAGAGTCATGTACAAAGGCCCTGAGGCCAGTGCGTGGCAATGGTGCACAGGGAAGGCTCTTCCAAGAACGGGGACCAAACAAGGGTGTTCCCTGTGCTCTGCGCTGTCGGGGACCTCTCCCTGTTCAGGGAGAACCCTGACCTTTTCCTTCCCCCTTCTCTCCTCTAGGTCGCAATCAAGATCATTGATAAAACCCAGTTGAACCCCAGCAGCCTGCAGAAGGTACGGCCTAAAGAAGGGGGAGTAGAGCGGGAGCAAGGTACCACTGCTAGGGGAGGGGATCCCCCAAACCATTCATCATCTCTCCCTTTTTTCTTTGGTGGTTGTGAGGTTGAATTCAGGGCCTTGTGCTTGCTAGGCAGACATTCTGACACTTGAGCTGGCCCATCTGCCCCCTCTTTTTGCTTTAACTGCTTTTTGAATGGGGTTGCAAAGGATTGTCTGGGTCCAGCCAGATCGCCATCTGCCTATTCACTCTTCCTGCATAGCTGGGATAGCAGGCACATGCCACCGTACCTTGCTCATTGGTTAAGATGGGGTCTCCAGCCGGGCGCTGGTGGCTCACGCCTGTAATCCTAGCTACTCAGGAGGCTGAGATCTGAGGATCGCGGTTCAAAGCCAGCCCGGGCAGGAGAGACCTTGAGACTCCTATCTCCAATAAACCACCAGAAAACTGGAAGTGGCGCTGTGGCTCAAGTGGTAGAGCACTCGCCTTGAGCTGAAGAGCTGAGGGACAGCGCCCAGGCCCAGAGGTCAAGCCCCACGACCGACCAAAAAAAAAAAAAGATGGGGTCTCCCTGATGTTTTTGTCTGAGCTGCCCTCAAACTATGATCCTCCCCTATCTTGACCTTCCACATGCCGGGGATTAATAGATGTGAGCCTCTGCCCTGACCCCTGCTTGACAATTTGGTTTTCTCCCTCATTCTTGTCTTTCTTTCTTTCTTTCTTTCTGGCCTCACCTAGCTGTTCCGAGAAGTCCGAATCATGAAGGGCCTAAACCATCCCAACATCGGTGAGCAAGGGAGTAAGCAGGCTCCTGGACAGGTCGCCAGCCCAGCCTCCTGGGAAGGCAGAGGCAGGGGACAGGGAGGCTGACATCTCTACTACTGTGTGGCTCGAAGGCAGCTACATGACCTCTCTGTTCTCTTACTTTCTGCTCTGAACAAAGAGCACTTGGTTCAGGGCTAAACTTCGGGGGCTGCCGGTGTGGGAGCATGGATGTCATTGTTAGGCAGAGGGAGGTGGGGTGCTTGCTCGGGGTCTCTCCTGACCAAGGCCTGGATGGCGGAGGCAGCTCCCTTCCCCCGGTCCTGTCTCCTGGTGGATGGTTGCTGCCCAGTTGAGGATACCATTAGTGGGGGACCTGATGGACCCAAAGTGTTGGGGGAGCCTGGAGGTGTGGGGGGGGAGAGAGGGGTTTGCCCACCTGACCCCACGCCCTCCCCTCCGGTCCTACAGTGAAGCTCTTCGAAGTAATCGAGACAGAGAAGACACTCTACCTAGTGATGGAATATGCAAGTGCCGGTGAGGCACTGGCCACGCCCCCTCTCCACACCCCGCCCCCTTCCCCATGCCCCGCCCACATGCTTCACACCCCGCCCATCTCCATGCCCCACCCTGTATCCCTTATACCTGGTACCTCTAGCCAGGCCCCGCCCCTCACAACCTCATGCTCCGCCCCTCGTTCCTCAGGCCACGCCCTCTGCACAATCCCCCTTCCCTGCACCCCCAGGCCTTACCTCTCTTCCCCACGCCCCTCTGCATGCCCTATCCCTGCACTCCCATGCCCCACCCCTCTTCACACCTCACCCCTGCATCCCCATGCCCTGCCTGACCCCGCTTGGCCTCTGCCCCCAGGAGAAGTGTTTGACTACCTCGTGTCCCATGGCCGCATGAAGGAGAAGGAAGCGCGAGCTAAATTCCGACAGGTCAGAGGCCTGGGCCAAGTTGGGGACGGGGCTGTGGATGACCTTCACAGAGCACTGGGGACCAAGGCATGGCGTCCACAAATAATTCACCTTCTTCTGCAGATTGTATCGGCTGTGCACTACTGTCACCAGAAAAACATTGTCCACAGGGACCTGAAGGTAAGGCCCCCTGTGACCTTGGGGACCCTTCCCCTCACCCCTCAACCTCCACCCCTCCTGCACTGACTGGGCTTCCCCCAGGACCCCAGATCTCTGGGCTCTTCCCAGCGATTTGTCCCAGAGTGCAGCCTTGGATGGGGCTGCAGGCAGAGGGGACAGGACAGGTTCTGGCACAGCCCTGGTGGTTACATGAGCTGGACGGGGACACTTGGGTAGGATACAGGTGTCACAGCAGGATCTTGGCTTTTCAGAGAACCTCTGGAAAGACCAGGCATGGTGGAACATGCCTGTAATTCCAGTACAAGAGAGGCTGAGGCAGGAAGGTCATGAGTTCAAGGTCACTCTGGGCTATTTCAAAACACAGGCCAGAGGATCACTTAAGAGTTTAAGGTTGGGGCTGGCAAGGTGGCTCAGTGGTAGAGTGCTTGCCTTGCATGCCTGAGGCCCTGGGTTCGATTCCTTAGCACCAAATAAGCAAAAAGAAAAAGCCGAAGTGGTGCTGTGGCTCAAGTGGTAGAGCTCTAGCCTTGAGCTGAAGAGCTGAGGGACAGCACCCAGACCCCATGGTTCAGGTCCCATCACCAGACCCCCCCCAAAAAAAAACAAAAAAAGAGTTTAAGGTTGCCAGGTGCCGGTGGCTCACGCCTGTAATCCTAGCTACTCAGGAGGCTGAGATCTGAGGATTGCGGTTCAAAGCCATACTGGGCGGAAACTCTTACCTCCAATAAACCACTAGAAAACCAGAAGTGGTTCTGTGGCTGTAGCCGGAGAGCGCTCACCTTGAGCTGAAGAGTGCAAGGACAGCACCCAAGCCCAGAGTTCAAGCATCACGACCGACCAAAAAAAAAAAAAAAACACAAACCAGGACTGGGAAGAGGCTCAGTGGTAGAGTAAGCCTTGCATGAATGAGGCCTTGGGTTCAATTCCTCAGCACCATATAAGCAGAAAAGTGGCTCTGTGGTTCAAGTGATAGAGTGCTAGCCTTTAGCTGAAGAGCTTAGAGACAGCACCCAGGCCCTGAGTTCAGGCCCCACAACCAGCAAAAATAAAAATAATAAAGGCTTATGTAGAAGCACACCTGCTGAGCATACAAACAAGCAGAAGGCCTGGATTTCAAGCCCTGGTACTGGAAAAATAAATTTTAAAAATTTCCCATATGGAAAGATACTTTTGTAAAATAAAATCAAAGCCAGCTGCCAATGGCTCACGCCTGTATTCCTAGCTACTCAGGAAGCTGAGATCTGAGGATCATGGTTGGAAGCCAGCTCAGGCGAAAAAGTCTGTGGGACTCTTCTCTCCAATAAACCACTAGGAAACCAGAAGTGGTGCTGTGGCTCAATGTGGTAGAGGGCTATCCTTGAGCAAAAGATCTGAGGGACAGTGCCCAGCCCTGAGTTCAAGCCCCATGACCAACCATTAAAAAAAAAATTATAGGAAATATGCAATGAAAAAAGGTTTAAAAATGCAAACCTCATTGTAACAGCGGTTCTCTTACCTGTAATGCACAGTGTCCAGCACATAGTAGATGGGCAGCAAATAAAGTTTTTATTTTCCTTATTACAGTCTGAAGGAACCTGCCATTTTCTTTCTTTTGCTTTTGTAATTTGCGGTGCTGGGGCCCAGGGCTTCCCATGCATTAGGCAATTGTTCTGCTACCCAGTCATGTCCCCAGCTCTTATTTTTATTTTCTACTGGGTAAACTGAGGCTCAGGGCAAGGCAAAAATGTGCCTAAAGAGCTTGGCTCCGTGGTCTGTACGTGATCATAGCACAAAATCCTTTACTTAGTTCTCAGTCTCCCACTACAGTGCCCACCCAGTGGCCGGAGGTGAGGGCCGTGCCCGAGGACACGCCGCCATTGCCCGGGGTGGGAGAGGCCTGGTCCAGCCTTGTCCACAGAGACCCCCGATTCCTCCCCCACTCCCCCAGGCTGAGAACCTCTTGCTGGATGCCGAAGCCAACATCAAGATCGCGGACTTCGGCTTCAGCAACGAGTTCACGCTGGGCTCGAAGCTGGACACCTTCTGCGGGAGCCCCCCGTATGCCGCCCCTGAGCTGTTCCAGGGCAAGAAGTACGATGGGCCCGAGGTGGACATCTGGAGCCTCGGCGTCATCCTGTACACCCTGGTCAGCGGCTCCCTGCCCTTTGACGGGCACAACCTCAAGGTGAGGGGCGGGGCAGCGTGGCGGAGGTATGGGCGTGGCCAGGGCCGTGTTTGGCTGTGGGGCGGGGCTAGAGGTGTTCGCTGCAACACCGGGCTTGTGTGGGTAGGGTTTGTGCGATTGGTGGGCGTGGCTAGGGTGGCCCAACCAATGGTTTGTGTGGATGTGGTCTCTACTGGTTGGTTTGCTGTGGGCGTGGCTACAGCCTGGTTGTCCGTGGGCGTGGCCACAAAGAGGTTTGCTCTCTGCGTGGGCGTGGCTGCAATGGTGCTGGCTTATGTGGGCGTGGTTAGACCCCCGTATGGGCGTGGCTGCCCACAGGCATGGGGTCCCATCCCAGCTCTCATTTAAGAAATAATCATCGCCCATCTCTGGGCGATGGCACTGTGCAATGGCATCTCTGTGAGAGGCACTGCAAGTACAGCATGAGTGAATGAGGAGAGAGCAGAGCAGGGTGACTGACACCTGTAGTTCCAGCTGTTCTGCAGGGGGAGGTATGAGGATGGAATGTTCAAGGTCAGCCCAGGCAAAATGAGCAAGATCCCCTCTCAAAAGCAACACAGGGGCTGGGGATGTGGCTTAAGTGGTAGAGCTCCAGCCTACCTTGTGTAAGGCCCTGGTCTTGATCACTAATCACCAAAAGAAGGGTGGGGGTACAGAACTCCCCAGGCTGATGAGAGCTGTGCCCAGTGACAGAAGGACAGAGTGATTTCATTTCTGTGAAATGTCCAGAATCGGCAAATCCACGGAAGAGGAAAGCAGATTACTGACGGTCTGAGGCGGGGTGGGGGGCGGGGGAGCTGGGGCGATAGCTGCTTCTGGCTTGATGAACAATGTACTCAAGTTGATCGCGGCGGTGACCTGCAGCCTGGGGAGGTCCACCAAAAACCCCAGGAATTGCTCACTTAGGGCAGAAAACTTTCCATCCTGCCACAGGGACGCTGCAGAACAGGCCAGACAGAAAACAACAGAAACGAGAGAGGGCGAAGCGAGAGGCTGGGGAAGGAAGAGACACTGAAAGGGTGGGATGGGTGGGGGTCAGGGTCATCTGTTTGGCTTGCTTTTGTGTTTTTCCTTTGAATCATTGCCAACCTATGGAGAACTTGCGAGAACACAGCAAGAACACTGGTACCGTTCAGGAAATTCATGTTGGCTGGCGCACAGCCACACGGCTAGATTTGTCACTGTGTGCATGTGGCTGTGCCAATCCTCACCACTGTTATTTTATCTTTTCCCTTTTTTTGGGGGGGTGAGGGGGGTGATATTGGGGTATAAATTCAGGGCCTTGCACTTGGTAGGGAAGCTCCTTTTTTTTCCCCAGTTACTGGGGCTTGAACTCAGGGCCTGAGCGCTGTCCTTGAGCTTTTGGGCTCAAAGCTGGTGCTCTACCACTTGAGCCGCAGCTCCACTTTTGGCTTTGTTGGTGGTGGTGGTGGTGATGGTGGTGGTGGTCATAGGACTTGAACTCTGGGCCTGGGCACTGTCCCTCAGCTCAAGGCAAGTGCTCTACCACTTGAGCCACAGCACCACTTCTGGTTTTCTGGTGGTTGATTGGAGATCGGGTCTCACGGACTTTCCTGCCTGGGCTGGCTTTGAACCTCGATCCTCAGTTGTCAGCCTCCTGAGTAGCTAGGATGACTGGCATGAGCCACTGGTGCCTGGCTACTTCTGGCTTTTGTGGTAGTTAGCTGGAGATAAGAGTCTCATGGATTTTCCTAAGGCCCTCCCTCCCCCATCCAGTTTCAAACCATGATCCTCAAATCTCAGCCTCCAGAGTAGCTAGGATTACAAGCGTGAGCCACCAAAGCCCAGCCTGACACAACACTTGAGCCCTATCTCCAGGGGTTTGGGTTTTGTTTTTGTTTTTTGCTTATTTCTCAGGCAGGATCTCATATTGTTACCCGGGCTGCCTTTAAACCAAAATTCTCCTATTTAATGCCTCTCAGTAGCTGGGATCCCAGGTGTGAGACACGTTGCCCAGCCTACTGGTTAAGATGGAGGTCTTGCTAACATTTTGCCCTGGCTGGCCTCAAACTTCCATCACCCCAGTCTCATCTCGTGAGTAGCTGGAATCACAGGCATGAGCCACCATGCCCAGCCCTCATCATTGTTATTGATAGACATGAGAGACGGTGACCCTTTGTCCCTAAAGGTTTTCTCAGGTCACCTCTTGAGAACAGGTAGTCACACAGGAAGCGGGACGCTCTCCCTGGCCTGGCTGCCACCCTGCTGACCTTACCACCGATGTCGTCAGCTACCTTAGAAATATGCTTGGCCACTGTTTGTTTGTTTTTTTCTTTCCCAGTCGGCGATCGCTTGGTTTTTCCATGCCAGAATGGCTCCCAGCACAAGCATCATGGGCCTGCTTCTTGTGCAGAGGGGAGTGTCCTTTTGTCCAGTGACCTGGTGGGACTTCTAAGGCACATTCCGGGGGCCTTTTGAGGGACTTCTGAAGTACAGAGCTCCATTCTGCTCAGTGTATCCAGGAAGTTTGAAATCAGAAGGAGTGGCCTGAGATCTGAGAGACGAGGGGGCAGGGACCCCATCTTCACAAGGCCTGGGCCAGGCAGCTGAGCACTCTGAGCTCCTGGGTCATGAAGATACCCATCTTGCTGAGAGCTAGTGCCTCACGCCCATCGTGTTAGCCCTGCACGAGGCTGAGAGCCGAGAATCATAGTTGGCAGCCAGTCCTGGCAGGAAAGGCTGGGAGACTTCCACGAACCACCAACAAGCTGGAGCTGTGGATCAAGGACAGCACGTAGGCCTTGATTGAGTTCAAGCCCCATGACTGGTGCGCGTGCACCCATGTGCACGTGCACACACAGACACACACACATCTTGTGGCTACAATTCAAGGTGTTCCCTGAACACCTGGAGCCTGGGGAGGAAACCCGTCATGGAATAGTTTTCCTGAGAGCCAGGTGTGACACTAAGAGATCTTTTCAAAGGGCCGGGATAGCACTACGCCTGCCCCAGGCCCTTTTCATCTCCCACCATCCTAGTTTCCATCAAGCCTCCAGCTCTGTCATCTCCAGATGACCTTGGACAAGTCCCTTTCTGAACCTGGGTCCCCCTACCTGTAAGATAAGATCAGGATGCTCAGAGCAATCCCAGGTTCATGGGAGGTGGAAGCAGGAGGTTTGAGAGTTCAAGGCCCGCTGGGTGCTGGTGGCTCATGCCTATAATCCTTGCTACTGAGGAGGCTGACCTCTGAGGTTCAAAGCCAGCCTGGGCAGGAAAGTCCATGTGACTCTGCTCTACAATAAAACACTCAGAAAATCGGAAGTGGCGCTGTGGCTCAAGTGGTTGAGTGCTGGCCTTGAGCTGAAGAGCTGAGGGACAGCGCCCAGGCCCAGAGTTCAGGCCCCACGACCAACAACAACAACAACAACAAAAAAGAGTTGGAAGCCAGCTCCATAAAGGAGACCTGTCTCCAAAAGCCACGAGAACCTCTGTAGTGTGCCCCGCTTTGGATGTGAGAGGCTGAGGGGAGGAGGGAGGGCAGGCCCCGACCTCACGGGGTGGGGTGGTCCTGTCCTTGTCACCCCCCCGCAGGAGCTGCGGGAGCGCGTGCTCAGAGGCAAGTACCGCGTCCCCTTCTACATGTCCACAGACTGTGAGAGCATCCTGCGGAGATTCTTGGTGCTGAACCCCGCTAAACGCTGTACCCTTGAGGTGAACCCCAGCCCCTCGCCCGCCCCTCCCATCCCCCAGCTCCCCCCCAGACTCTGGGCTCCCTCCCCACACAACTACCACCCGCCTGAGGGCCGTGGGAGTAGATGGGCAGCCCCAGGAAGCTGCTCCCAGGCCAGCTCACCCACTCCCCGCCATGCTAAGTAATTAGCTAATAAGCGCCTAGACTTATTACAGGGTGCCAAGGGCCCCCTATGCAGCACGGGAGGAAGAGGGTGGCAACTAGAAGCTCCCGCAGGGGGTGGGCATGGCAGGCAAAGCTCAAAACAAGCCCTCCATTCGATTTAGGGGGGGGTGTAACTTAGGCCTTGGAAGTGTGGGGGGCTGTGCTGTGTCTGATTCCCTCTGACGCCGCCTGTCCCCCACTCTACACAGCAAATCATGAAAGACAAATGGATGAACATCGGCTACGAGGGCGAGGAGTTGAAGCCATACACGGAGCCCGAGGAAGACTTTGGGGACACCAAACGGATTGGTGAGGCTTGGGCAGGACCGGAGCCACCAGGCTGTGGTCCCTTCGGTCAGGTACTGGGCAGCTAGGAATCCATCCTGGGTTCCTATGCCGAGGCTGCTCTGTTGAGCTGTGACACCCTGGGCCAGTGGTTTTCCCTCTCTGGGCTCAGGTCGTCATGGCAAAACCTGCCCATAGGGCCTGGTGCATAGTAAGTGAGTTGATCTACGTAAGCACGGATGAGCCAGCACCTGCTCTGACCATCAGGTTAGGAAGGGATAGGCATGGTGGCGCAAACCCGTTATCCCCGTCCGAGGGAGTCTGAAGGATGAGGATCTTGAACTTGAGGCCAGCCTCGATTTCACAGCAAGACCTTGTCGCCAAAAGCGATAATTAGTAATTTTTTTAATAAAAGAAGGAAAAATTGCAGATCCATTTGAGGAGAATTTGAACACAGATTATCAGATACCTGCCTTTCCCCTCCTTCATACATACCTTTTTCTTTTTCTTTTTCTTTCTTTTTTTTTTGGAGGGGGGGGGCTGGTCCTGGGGCTTGAACTCAGGGCCTGGGTGCTGTCCCTGAGCCTCTCTGTACTGAAGGCTAGCACTCTACTACTGGAGCCACAGCACCACACTTCCAGCTTCTTCTGAGTAGTTTATTGGAGAAAGGGGTCTCACAGACTTTCCTGCCTGGGCTGGCTTCGAACCACGATCCTCAGATCTCAGCCTCCTGAGTAGTTGGGAGTACAGGTGTGAACCACCGGGGTCTGGCATATCTTTTTTGTTCTTTGGACTTGATCCTTCCCCCTGTGGAATCCTAAACATTTGTGAACCCCAAAGGATTAGCTTAGAAGGAACCCCTGAGAAACCACCCCAAATCCTCCATTGTACGGTGGCGGAAACTGAGGCTTTCATAGGCTCCTGACCACATTGGTCAGGACTTCTGTGGTTGCAAGTAACAGAAAACCCAAAACAACAATAACAATAATAATAGGCTGAATCCTATGAGATCAGCATTGTATAAGTCAAATATTGCCAACATCAGCATTAGTGTGCCGGAGGTGGAGGGGTGGGGGGGGGGGAGGGTCAAGCACTCTAATTGGCCAAATCTGGGCCATGTGTCTGTTCTGAGCTAATCAGTGTGGCTTTGGGGATGGAGCAGGCTGATTGGCCAGACCCACCTCATTTGCCTGCCCTTAAGGTAGATGCTTGGCAGGGGTGAGCTAGGCGGCCCCAGTGGGCAGAGTACTGATCTGTATTGATGGTAGAGGAGAGAGTGAATAAAGACTAACCAGAACAAAGAGCACATACTATGGAGGGAAGGGCTGGTGACTGACCTTCTCCGCCCTCCCCCAGAGGTGATGGTGGGCATGGGCTACACCCGGGAAGAAATCAAAGAGGCCTTGACCAGCCAGAAGTACAATGAAGTGACCGCTACCTACCTCCTGCTGGGCAGGAAGACTGAGGTCAGAGGGCACGGAGCCTGGGGGAGCGGCTGGGGGGGGGCTGGGGGGAGCAGAGATGGGCTGAGACCCCTCCTCTGTCATGTTCTCACAGGAGGGTGGGGATCGGGGCGCCCCTGGGCTGGCCCTGGCACGGGTGCGGGCGCCCAGCGATACCACCAATGGCACGAGCTCCAGCAAAAGCAGCAGCCACAGCAAGGGGCCGCGGAGCTCCTCGTCCACCTACCACCGCCAGCGCAGGCACAGTGACTTTTGTGAGTGTCCACCCGGCCGAGCCCAGCAGTGCTGGAGGGGGGCGGGGTCCCCGTGGGCAGGACACTGCCTGCAGTGCCGAAGCATGGCCTGGCAGAGCATAAACCTGCCGGGCGCCGGTGGCTCACGCCTGTCATCCTAGCTGCTCAGGAGGCTGAGATCTGAGGATCGCAGTTCAAAGCCAGCCCGGGCAGGAAAGTCCCTGAGACTCTGATCTCCGATGAACCACCAGAAAACTGGAAGTGGCGCTGTGGCTCAAGTGGTAGAACATTCGCCTTGAGCTGAAGAGCTGAGGGACAGCGCCCAGGCCCAGAGTTTAAGACCCACAACCAACAAAAAAAAAAGGAGCACAAGCCTGCAAAAATTCCCAGGCCCGGATCAGACACTGTCTGTGCCCACCTTCTTTGTCTTATTTCTCTCCTGACCCCTTTTTGTTTTTCATATTTTTGGACAGTTGTAGGACTTGAAGTTAAGGCCTGAGCGCTGTCCCTGAGCTCTTTTGCTCAAGGCTAGCATTCTACCACTTGATCCACAGCGCCACTTCCAGTTTTCTGAGTGGTTTACTGGAGAGAAGAGTCTCATGGACTTTCCTGCCCGGCAGGCTTTGAACTGTGATCCTCAGATCTCAGCCTTCTTAGTAGCTAGGATGACAGGCAGGATCCACTAGCACCCAGATTCCTGATCTCTTCTTGATCTCTCAACTGAGACTCCTCATGCCTCACGTTTACAGTCTGGGCCAAACGGTAGCTAGGGTCTCCTTGAGCCATTTTTTCCAGGGGCAGGCGCTGGTGGCTTTCGTAAAATGCCCTCAGAATGGCCCTGTGCAGAGGTTCTATGCCAGCAAGGGTGCTGAGGCTTCCCAGGAGACCCTAGCTCTAACCATGCCCCTTCTCCCTACCAGGCGGCCCATCCCCTGCCCCCCTGCACCCTAAACGCAGCCCGACCAGCACAGGGGAGGCAGAGCTGAAGGAGGAGCGGCTGCCTGGCCGGAAGGCCAGCTGCAGCGCGGCGGGCAGCGGGAGCCGAGGGCTGCCCCCTTCCAGCCCCATGGTCAGCAGTGCCCACAACCCCAACAAGGCGGAGATCCCCGAGCGGCGGAAGGACAGCACGAGCACCCCTGTGAGTGGTTGGGGTGAGGGGGCAGCCTGTCCACACTGCCCGTGAGCATGGTTGCTCTGACCCTGCAGCACCCAGGCTCTGTGATAGCCATTTGTGCATCTATCGAGTGCCTGCTGTTTGCCTGACCATGTGCTGTATGCCATTGTACCAGCTTGCTGCATGAGGAATGCGCCCTGTGACCCCAGCAGAGAGAACTCAATGTTTCCATCTCTGTGGGAGTCCAGGGAGCCCCTGCCTCAGGCTTTGCAGGAGAAAAGTGGGGACATAAGCCAAAGGGGTGCCCTGCACAAGGGAGCTGTCCTGTGGCTCTGGACTCTGTGTCTGCTCTGATTGGTCAGTGTTTGGTCACGTGACCTGCCCTTGCTACAAAGGACGCTGGGAAACGTAGTCGTTCTGGGAGGCAGTGTGCAGGTCACTTTCAGGGGTGTGGATTCCAGGAGCAAAAGGGGAGGGTGGGCTCTGGGAGAGAGCCCACACCTACCTTCCCCTGCTTGGCCTGTCTCCCACAGAACAACCTTCCTCCCAGCATGATGACCCGCAGGAACACCTACGTGTGCACTGAGCGCCCTGGGGCCGATCGCCCATCCCTGTTGCCAAATGGCAAAGAAAACAGGTATGGCTGGGGGGAGGGGGCATCCTGGGGCTAGGGGGTGGGACAGTGAGCTGGTCCCCCCTCTACCCGCTCCCTCCAGATGCTCAGACTCAATGAACCAGGGAAGTAGTCCGCCCACCAGCCTGGGAACCCGGGCAAGTTTTTGAATGATCCATTTTTAGAACTCAAGAGGAGCCCAGATTTGTTCCAGCTCCTGAGCCTCTCATCTGGCTGCTGGCTGGAGGCCTGGGCCTGCTGTGGTCTCTCTCTCTGTCTCTCTCTCTCTCTCTCTTTCTCTCTCTCTCTCTCTCTCAGCTTCACCCGGGAGGGGGTGGCATCCAGTAGAGCCACACTCCTGCCCACGCAGGGTGTGCAGTTAGCCAGCACCAGGGCGCCCAGGGACAAGGCTGGCAACTGTCCTTGGGGGTGCATGACTGCAGGTGTTGGGGTGATGTGGGGGGGTGACAGGACTCTGTGAGCCTTACCTCTGCACTGTTAGTGAGGTGACTAGGAGAGATCTCTGAGCCTGCTTTCTCCTCTGCCAAATACTGATTGCTTCCAGGCCCCATCGAGGTCAGGATCTGGTCCATAGTTTATTTCTTATTTAGTGACCTAAATAAAAATAATAACTGGGCTGGGAGGGTGGCTCGGTGGTACAGTGCTTGCCTTGCATGCATGAGGCCCTTGGTTCGATTCCTCAGCACCACATAAGCAGAAAAGGCCAGAAGTGGTGCTGTGGCTCAAGTGGTAGAGTGCTAGCCTTCAGCTGAAGAGCTGAGGGACAGCTCCCAGGCCCAGAGTTCAGGCCCCACAACCAACAAATTAATTAATTAATTAAATTCAAATAATAACTGATCACTCTTCAAGCAGCAGCCGTGTGTCACCAGGCTGTGTCCAGTAGCTGACCTAATGCTTTGACCACATTGTGTAGGTCCTCCAGTCTCCATTTTGCAGCTGAGAAAATGAGGCACAGGAAGGTTAAATAACTTATCCAAGGATACACAGCTGGTAGCTAATTTGAGGAACACAAGATTCCAGACTGATTCCAGAATCTGTATTTGTGGCCATCATAGTATGTGGCCTTCCATTCTGGACAAGACAGTAGACCAGTTAGCTTATAACAGAATTGTCATGAAGTAGGAACAGTGGCTTTAAAAAAAAAAGGATGGAGCCAGGTGCCGGTGGTTCACGCCTGTATTCCTACCTACTCAGAAGGCTGAGATCTGAGGACCACGGTTCAAAACCACCGTGGACAGAAAAGTTTCTGTGAGACTCTTTATCTCCGTTGAACCACTCAAAATCTGGAAGTAGTGTGGGTGGCTCAAGTGGTAGAGTACTAGCCTTGAGCACAGAGAGGCGCAGGAACAGAATCCAGGTCCGGAGTTCAAGCCCTACAACTGACAAAAACAAAAGATGGACATTTAACCTTCAGGGACAGAACCATTAAAAGGTAGACAGTGCTCAGGACTTTCTTAGGATCCTGCCAGCTCCAGCTCTGGGTCACAGGCTGCCGTGCCAGATGCCAGCCTCCCAACACTTCTTTGCAGAAGTAGGAACAGAGCAGAGAGGGTTAAACAGCATTCTTGAAAGGCTTGGCCCCAGAAGTGGAACACAAGACTGCTGCTTATATCCTATTGGCCCGGGTGGTCACATGGCCAATATGTGCTGCAGTGAATGCTGGGAAATGTAGTCTCTGGGCCAGAGACTATATGCAGCCTTTTTCTTTCCTTTTTTCTTTTTTTTTTTTTGGGGGGGGGGTCCGGTCGTGGGGCCTGAACTCTGGGCCTGGGCACTGCCCCTCAGCTCTTCAGCTCAAGGCTAGTACTCTACCACTTGAGCCACAGTGCCACTTCCAGCTTTTTCTGCTTATGTGGTGCTGAGGAATCGAACCCAGGGCCTCATGCATGCAAGGCAAGCGCTCTGCCACTGAGCCACCTTCCCAGCCCGCAAGCTCTTTTTCTTAAGAGTGTTTACACCCTAGAGCAAAAGGGCCGGCTCTGGGGGAGAGGCAGAAGCCGCTACCACAGTGAGGGGTTCTGTGGAGGTGCAGGCTGGTCCTGAGGGGTCGGGGGAAGGTGGGAGTCGGAACTGTCTCCTGGAAGTGATGTAAATCTAGAGAGAGGAGGGTTCGAACAGAGGGAGGTGTTAGAGTTTGAAGAATTAACATTAACCGAGAAAGCCAGAGTCAATAACGTAATGGCGGGTTCTGTGGCCTACGGCCACCTGGGCATCTGAACAAGACGCCTCGTCCAGCCGTGAGCTCCGAGCTGGCTGGGGGCTGAGGACTCAGGACAGGGCCATGAAGAAGCAGTGAGACTTGGCGCTGGCCTGCCTCGAGCCCCCCACCCTAACTTGTCCCTCTCTGCCTACAGCTCGGGCACCCCCCGGGTGCCCCCTGCCTCCCCCTCCAGCCACAGCCTGGCCCCTCCATCCGGGGAACGGAGCCGCCTGGCACGGGGCTCCACCATCCGCAGCACCTTCCACGGTGGCCAGGTCCGGGACCGGCGGGCAGGGGGCGGGGGTGGCGGGGGTGTGCAGAACGGTCCTCCTGCCTCCCCCACGCTGGCCCACGAGGCTTCACCCCTGCCCTCCGGGCGACCGCGCCCCACCACCAACCTCTTTACCAAGCTGACCTCCAAACTGACCCGCAGGTGAGCTGCCTGGAATCTAGGGGTGCGGAGGGGTGGGGCCTGACCTGTCCTCCACTCTGCTCTGTACCCTCACATCTCCTCCTCCTCCTCCTCCACTTCTCTTCTGCTTCCTCTCCCTCTGTCACCCCTCACCCCCTCCTCACACTGCAGGGTTACACTCGATCCCTCTAAACGTCAGAACTCGAACCGCTGTGTCTCGGGCGCCTCTCTGCCCCAGGGATCCAAGATCAGTAAGTCCAGTTCCTTGCTGGCCCTCCTTCCCTGTCTGCATGTCTGTCCGACTGTGAGCACGGCCATCGGAGGGGTCCTGGGGATGGGAACTGGGGCACAGGGTCTGTATGGGGTCTGGTATTTATTACAAGGAAAACTGTGCAGCAGTGGCTCATGCCTGTCATCCTACCTACTCAGGAGGCTGAGATCTGAGGATCATGGTTTAAAGCCAGCCCGGGCAGGAAACTCTGTGAGATTCTTATCTCCAATAAACCACTCTGAAAACCAGAAGTGGTGCTGTGGTTCAAGCAGTACAGCGCTTGCCTTGAGCTGAAGAGCTGAGGGACAGCACCCAGGCCCAGAGTTCAAGCCCCAGGATTGATTTAAAAAAAAGACAGTGGTCATAAGTCTGTTGTCCAGAGCCCTGTTCTTGGGGCTCCCACTTATTAGCTATGCTGAGTGACCTCAAGGAAGTCACTCAACCTCTCTGAGCCTGGCTTTCCTTCCTCCCAGGGTGCTTGCAGAGATTGATGAGGTGACCTACAGGGCTGAGAGTGCTTTGTGCACATACATAGACACAGATTTGCTACTTCATGATTGAGCACCTACTATGTGCCTGGCAGCAAATGTGCTGAAGTTCCTGCCCTGCCAGAGCCCAGCTTCTAGAAAGTACCCACACAGCAAGGAGGGTCTCTTGACTGTCAGGTAGTGGCAAGTACTAAGGAGACACACGGAGGGGTTGGAGGCATGACTCAGTTGGTAGAGCGCCAGCCAGTGAGGCAAAAGCATCGGGTACCGAGTTCGAGTCCTACTCTCGGAACTAAAAAAATAAACAGGAAGTGGCACTGTAGCTCAAGTGGTAGAGCGCTCGCCTTGAGCTGAAGAGCTGAGGGACAGCGCCCAGGCCCAGAGTTCAAGCCCCATGAACGACTAAAAAAAAAAAGATAAAAAAATAAATGAAGGGAAGCGGACTCAGGCGGGGCGGGGAGGGCCCGGTGGAGATGCTTCCCCTCTCCCTCCTCCTCTTCATCTTCAGTATCTCTCTTCCTACCTGCACTAACCACTTCTGGGACCGGCGGGGACCCCCATCCTGGCTTGGTTCTCCCTAGCCCAGCTAAAAGCCAGCGGCCGGACGTTTCTGCTGGCTGTGGGTGGGGGCAGAGGGGGGGCCGGGTCCAGGTTCACACTCTCACCGATCCTGCCCACTTCCTAGGGTCGCAGACGAACCTGAGAGAATCGGGGGACCTGAGGTCACAAGGTGAGTGGGGACCCTCCCCTAACACCCACAGGCAGGGCCCAGATCACATCACTTCTTGAGGTGCCCCAGGACCCCTCACTCAGCCATTTCCCTGCACAACTCGTACAGCTTCCTTGATAGAAGTTGTACCCCTCACTTGGGCCCATATGCCAGAATCTAGAGACAAGAGCCAGGCGTGGCTGTGCATGCCTGTAACCCCAGCTACTAGGGAAGTAGAGACGGATAAGTCAACGTTCAAGATGGAGCCGGGCGCTGGTGGCTCACACCTGTCATCCTAGCCTCAGATCTCAGGAGGCTGAGATCTGAAGATCACGGTTCAAAGTCAGCCCGGGCAGGAAAGTCCGTGAGACTCTTGATTTCCAATGAACCACCAGAAAACTGGAAGTGGTGCTGTGGCTCAAGTGGTAGAGCGCTCGCCTTGAGCTGAAGAGCTGAGGGACAGCGCCCAGG